GCGAAAATTTGTATGAATATTAGTTTTCAGCTGCTCTTATACATCATTTAAGTAAAATCTCAGGAAGATCAATAGTTTTGTAGTTCGAAAACCAGCTATTTCGAAACGTCATGTTAGTACAGCGTCTCACACCAGTAAAGACCTCGCGTTCAGTAATAATAATCGCCTATCTCTTTGCAAGAGCGGCCTTGGAAAAAATAGATTGGAATTTGAAAAGCTCTGCCAGCATTTTTAAGAATTACCTTGTATCTCAGGAAAATCGATAACTACTGATTGTTATCTAATCACTCCGCATTGAAACGAGAACAAATCATTTTCATACTAAATATCATCACACGCAGACAAGAATCAGGAATAAGCATCTTGTTTAATGACGTCTAGACTATCATTACAGGGGCAACGATGAAAAATAATCGTTAATATCACAACTGTACGATAACTGTCAAATTTCCTCATGTATAGAAATTTACATTAGAACGTCTTAAATAAGTACATTGATTTCTAAATAACTCCACATATCTAAATTTAAGTAATTCAATTATCCAACAAAATAGAGATAACAGTAGAATGAATTCCCCACAGGGGTAGTATAGTAATTGTAGTAGTAGTAGTGTCGAGGTGTTTAACTTTTGACAAACTAAGAGAGGACACTAATAAAATCTAAAGTTGATACATTAAAATTAGGACATTGACACACACACAAGTAGACAAATCTAAAAAGCAAAAAATTCTAGCTAATTATTACACGTGTATGCTAATTGAGGACACTAACAGAATCTAACAAAAAAAATTTGGATATTTACACAAATACAGCTAAAAAAAAAATCTAAAAGGTAAAAATCTCAAGGATTAAGTGAGCATGTCTCAGCGTAATGCACCTAATAACAAATAATGGCAAAAACAAAAGAAAATTCACAGAAACTGAGTTATGAAATACAAAGTTCGTGTTTTTTTTCTTTAAAAGAGCTAGAAATTCCAACTCATACAAGAATCTGTGTCTACGCTTCAACCAAAAAGTACTCAAATACCTGTCATTTCACCGAGTTGTTAAAGAAAACTAGAGCACGGGATTAATGTTAATTTCTTCTAAGTAAGTTCTGTATTGTAGTAATGCAAGCTAGAGAGACGGTCATATCTACTTTACTACTTACCATGGAAGTTTCCCATCACACTGTGCATTTTTGTACTCTAAGATCTCAAATCCAGATCTTCTGATTGCTTCCAATATGACGGCCTGGGTTCTCATATCAGGTACTCCATTACCAATCTATAAAATAACATGGAATATGAGGCTTTATATAAAGGTAACGAAACAGAATTGACGTGCTTATTGGGGACGAAAGCACTGGCAGCAGACACACTAAGTATTAGGTTAATCATATGTAAGAAAGAAACAATGTTTGCAGGTAATGAACTGATTTGATAAGGTATATAAAACACCGTAGAGAGTTTCCAGTGCCGTCTTTTCAGGCGCGAGTCTCTCACTGGTCCTAGCTCTGACAAAGGACGAGGGCTCGAAACCACATTTCTAGATTTTCTTTACGGTGGCTAATTTACCTTTTGACTTAGTTAATGAAATTAAAAATCGGTTTTCACTTCCCCATCAACGCAGCACAAAAATTTCTTATCCTTGAGAATGTAAAGGACTGCATTTGGCATAACTCATGAAACTGTCTGTCTGTCTGTCTGCCTGCCTGTCTGTGTAAATTGACTGACTGACTGAATGACTGACTGAAGGCCGGACCAATGAAGTGAAGGACGAATGAATGGTTGGAAGCAGGATGGTCGGATGGATAGACGGACATACGGCCGCAAAGGAGAGGAGGTGAATAATTGATGGACAGACGGACGGACGGATGGCGATGGACGGATGGATCCAACCGTCTGCGAAAGACATCGTCTCTACGGTATGCCACCCGTTGTATAGCAATAACCATTTATTGTCATTCTTTGTGCAACACATTACCTCAATGTCTTCCTTGATCTTCACATGTTCTGGATTCTGAGGGTCGTAGGCATCTGTCATAGCCCAGGCAGAATCAACAAAGATAGCCCCTGGTTTGAGTACACGCAGTATCTCTCTGTACACTTGTTCCGGATCTCGTGCATAGACAGAAGACTCCAGGGCATATGCGCCGTCAAACGTGCAATCGTCAAACTCCATGTGATGATAGTCTCCCTACAAAAACAAACATTTACTATCAAAACAGGATACAAATCATCTCCTCTACTTAGAGAATTCAGTTTAAATTGTCCAATAAAAGTCGTCAACAACGTCAAAAAGTAGGGGCAGCGTGCGCAACATCCATTTTGGTGGCAGCTTTTGCAATCATCGAGATTAGCAAATGGACGTGCTCTCTTGTTATAGATCATAATTGCTCTGCAGTGTTGTGCTGTGTTGTCACGACTGTCACGGTTGTGTTGTGTTGTATTGTGTTGTGTTGTGTTGTGTTGTGTTGTGTTGTGCTGTGCTGTGCTGTGCTGGGTTGTGTTGTGTTGTGCTGTGCTGGGCTGTGTTGTGCTGAGCTGTTATGGTGTGCTTTGTTGTGCTGTGCTGTGCTTTGTTTTAATTTTCTTAACTTTACTTTTATTTAATTAATTTACATGATTTGAAAACTATATGACTGTGACTAACTGACCTTGACCCCACTACATTGGTTTTGCATATTGTCTTGTTCAATGTGATACTTCACTCGCTTGAGCTGATATTCACAGGGGTTCAGGCCAACCACTTGAGCTCCAGAAAACTTGGCGATCTGCAGCATAGGTCCCCCCACACCGCAGCCAGCATCCTGAAACACAAGCATATATATACAGAAAACACTTAGCGCATCTGTAAGCACACATTAGCACCCTGAACATTGGTCACGCAAGACAAATGAATACAGTTTTAACCCTCAGTTTTAGATGTCATGTCCGAAGGGTTCATGGCTATTTGGACGATGTCATTTCCCTGTGCTCGCGAGGAAACGGTTCAAGGTGCAAACTTTCCGAAATACGCTTCACCTGGCCAGGCCAAGGAAAGATCGCTCATAATGTGACCATTCAACCATTCCTGCGGATATGTGCATATATTTTAGACTAATGAAGAAGCAATTGTGTGTCTACGAAGTGAGCCATAAACATCCATGCAAAACACTTATTCATAGCAAACCGATAAGAGTAACTTGTTTGACCATGAACGTATGAAAATCATAATATTTGAACGGCGGGATAAATATAAAGAATGAAGATGTGAGTGATCATTGCAGCTTTAATTAACCAGTAATGAAAATAAAGCACGAATACATGATGATCATATTTTCATAGTCAAATATTCATCATTCACGTGTTTATCACGAAACAGCAAAATGACCAGCACCCACATGGAACGTGATGGTCAGATAACCAGTACTTCTTCAAAAAAAACACCTCCTCATGAGCACTGCACCGGTTTCGCTGAGGTCATGGATTCGACTCCTGTACAAGCCTGTTTGTTTTTAGTTGGTTTTTTTCACTATTGCTTAATTAGTGTTCATAACGTAACTGCGGCAATCATTTATATCTTTAAGAGTAACTTGTATTAAACTCCTGATATTTTATATAAATGTCACAAAGTTAGTAATCAGAACTTAACAGAGTAAATCGTTTGTGACGTCCATCAGTGGGGTGATTGCAATCAGCCAATGAAACAACGCCACATTTGATACATTTAAATACGTGAATTAGCATTTCAGACATTTGCATGCTCTGACTCATGATTCTCTGATTTTCATTTTATCGGGAAATTTCATTGTTTTTTTAAAATAGATAGACTTCATGCAAGTCACTCATCAATGGGACTGTGTAATATCTTTGATTCTCTCACCAGAAGTTTCATTCCTGGTCCAGCCTTTATAGTCCTCGCTATATCTCTCTCGTAGGCTGCAATACACTCCTGCATGGAGCTACTTGCACTCAAGACGGGTGCAAAATGAAATGATCTTCCGTATCCATACTCGTAAAAGTCTGTAACAAGCGTGTAGAAGTTGTCAGAAATATCTCTCACTTCTTGAATTCGCTTCTTCCTGTTAGCTTCTCTTTCCGATTCCTCTTTGCCCCGCTCGAACTGTTTGACATATCTTGTAACATTATCACGAACAAAATCATGCCCGTACGCTGTACGGTTATAATTCATCAAACTAGCGTGGTCTGCATTTTCAACGTTATCTTTCTCGCTATTAGACATTATTTAAAAACTGCAATTAATGCGACGAGCTAACACCCTGAAATGCTACAGGTAACAGAACGACCTGCCACACTCATGTGCAAAACCGCATGCTGTTATTTCATGTGACAATGAGTGTTCATCGTCACGCAAATGTACCCAAGCGAAAACAGTCCCCTTCACGTGCCGGAAATTTCCAAAATCGTAATTCATCGGCATGCATATACCATAACAAAGAAACTTGGGGACGGTAACGAATGCCATCATTAGTTACCACCTCTGATACCTGAATTAAGTTGAGATCGAATTTGAAAGGTAGGTTTACTTGGAAAATGTTGAGTATAAAGGGGTGCACGAAATGAAGACAGTGCCACTGTCTACATTTCGTGCACTGTACGGGTCCGCAAATGATCCCTGGACCGCAAATGATGCCAGACCGCAAATGATCCTCAAATTGAACCGCAAATAATCCCGATCAAAAAATAAGCAATGGCATGGATTCATATCAGAGGAAGGTGAGAACATAAACAAAAATTATGAACTAAAAAACATGTTTTATCACTTTACAAAGACAATATTCCACAGTTGCGGTTTTGTTCTTCGAACGGTTCAGATCGTTTTCACTGTCACGCAATAAAAAAAAAAAAAAAAAAAAAAA